GGGCCAGCCAGGGCGAGGCACCTCTGGAGGTTAGTTGCCAGCCCCACCCCGGATCAGGCCAGTTCCCTGGCTGCAGTGGGTGTCATAGCGATCAGCTCTTTTGGTGGCTTTTTATATAGATAGATAGATAGATAGATACTGAAACTTGTTTTCCCACTTAACCTATATAGAGGTCATTTTTTTTTATCTGGAACTGATAAAAAATTCCCTTTTGATAGCTGCTCAGTATTTTATTCTATAAATGCACCATATTGTATTTATAACACATAATGTAATTATGATGGACATTTAGATTTCCAGTATTGTGCCATTACAAATGATGCAGTGAGTATTCTTGTATGTGCATATTGTGCACGTGTGAAAATATAGCCAAGTTCCTAGAAATGAATTCTTAGAAGAATCTAACGTTCTCTGAAATTGCTGAGTTAAATGGATTGGGCAGTTGTACTTTAGTATATTGCTAAATTACTTTTCACCCTGCCCGTTTTCCTAAACCCTCACCAACACATGGAGTTACCACTTCCATTTCCCTTTCAGAGAACAATTTTTATCCTTTTTTTTTTTTTTTCATTTTCCATTTGTGTTATTGGCCTTATTTCACTCTAGGAGCTCTTGATTTATTAAGGAATTTTGCCTTTTATGTGGTATAAGGTTAAGATATTTCTTCCCAGTATGATATTTGTCTATTGGCTTGACTTTTGGTAGTAATTACTATAAAATTTCCTTTAGTTAAATCTATCAGGGTTTTTTGTACATGCACACTGCTTCTTAACTTCATGTTATACGTAGAGACAAGCTTATCACTTCCATGATTATTTTAAAAACTCTTCATTGTTTTCCCCCAGAATTTGTATAGTTTAATTTTTTTAATTAAAAGTTTTCCACCATTTGTAATGTATTTTGGGGTAAGGTATCAAACGCCCGCCCCCCTCCTCCATTGTGCCAACACCATGCATTTAAAAATTCTTACCCTCGCCCTAATTGGTATGGCTCTGTAGATAGAGTGTTGGCCTGTGGACTGAAGGGTCCCAGGTTCGATTCCAGTCAAGGGCATGTACCTTGGTTGCGGGCATAACCCCAGTAGGGGGTGTGCAGGTAGCATCTGATTGATGCTTCTCTCTCATCGATGTTTCTAACTCTCTTTCCCTCTCCCTTCCTCTCTGTAAAAAAAAAAAAATCAATAAAATATATATTTAAAACAAATAAAAACTCTTACCCTGTTGACCTGAAATGCTATAAGTTATCTTCTTACGTGTGGGTCTTATCTACCTAGCCGGAGGAGAGACTTTTTCAGGGCCCGTTCGGTTTTTATCCTGTCTTGTTTCCCCCGTAATGTTCTGTATAGAATAGGTGTGACAGTATTTGTTTTACATTTTAAAAAACTGACCGTATAGGAAAGAACACAGCACATGGTGCACGGTGTAATTAACATTTATAAAATGAACATCTGTAACCACCACCTAGACCAAGCAGTGGGCCATTTCCAGCTTCCCAGGCGCCCCCTGGAGGCTCTTCCCGTCACATCCCTGTCCCACCCGCAGAGGGAACCTCTCTGTTGACTTGGGACAGCTTCCTTCCTTGTTTTTCTTTGTCTTGAGGTTCAATTACATGAAAGTGCCTTTTTTCCCCCCTTAGGTAAAAAAAATCATTGAATATCTGCAATTTTGTGTGTCAGCCTGGAAACCTGACCACCTCTGGGTCTCTCAACAGCCTAGCGCAGTTGAGCCCGGTTTTGCGTGTTATTCAGCATCATCTTCCTGTGTTTGCCCGTGCTGTGTGTGCTGCTTCCACTCGCTGTGGTGCAGTGTTCAGCCCAGGGCTGTAGGGAGTCAGTTCCCATTGCTGGGGGCGTGCCCTCGGATGGCTCTGCTGCTTTTCACTTATCCGCACGCCCTGCTGCTGGGCTAGGGGCCCCGTCCAGGTGTGACTGCTGCAGTGAATGTCGCTGTGGAAACCCTCGTACACGTGTGGGTGCACGTGGCCAAGATCTCCCCTGGGACCTGGTCAGCAGGTTAGGGCCCCCTGCGTCGTCTTGTTGTTTTTTTTAACTTCTTACGTTGACATAATTTTACTTTTTTAAAAATATATATCTTATTGATTTCAGAGAGGAAGGGAGAGGAAGAGATAGAAACATCAATGATGAAAGAGAATCATTGATCGGCTGCCTCCTGCATGCCCCCCAACTGGGGATTGAGCCTGTAACCCGGGCATGTGTCCTTGGTTGGAATCTAACCTGGGACCCTTCAGTCTACAGGCCAGTGCTCTATCCACTGAGTCAAACTGACTAGGGCCAATTTTATATTTCTAGAAGAGTTACAGAGTTGGTACTGAGAGTTCCTGTATCTCCTTTATCCAGCTTCTCTTCATATAAATGTCTAACATAATTGTGGTATATTTTTAAAACTCAGTTTTTTCGCTTCATGTGTCTCTTCTGTTCTAGGGCCCCAGTGCAGGAGAGATTGCCGTTAGTCGCAGGTCTCCTTAGACATGAAACAAACTTTCCAGCTGGAGAGCAGTATTTGTAGGAAGTTCTTTTTGTTTTTAGGCTTAAAATATCCAGTCAAAATACTACTTTCTGAGTTACTGTTACATCATCTCTTGGGTCTTGTTTCTTTCACTTAGATAAGTTTATTTTAAAATTCATCCATGTTGTTGTGCGAATCAATAGTTTCTTCATTTAAAAAAAATGTTAGTGAACTTTACAAGAAATTAATCATTTTCAGGTAAACAATTTAGTGGTATTTCGTGCATTCACAATATTGTACATCTACTACCTGTCAAGTTCCAAAATATTTTCATCACCTCAAAATAAAAACCCATCGCCGAAACTGGTTTGGCTCAGTGGATAGAGCATCGGTCTGCAGACTGAAAGGTCCCAGGTTCGATTCCAGTCAAGGGCAGGTACATTGGTTGCGGGTACATCCCCGGTAGGGGATGTGCAGGAGGCAGCTGATCGATGTTTCTCTCTCATTGACGTTGCTAGCTCTCTGTCCCTCTTCCTTTCTCTTTGTGGAAAAAATCAATAAAGTATATTTTTAAAATTAAAAACCCATTAAATGAAGCACTTAACTTTCAATTTCTCCCTCTTCCCAGCCTCTGGCAACCACCAAAATGCTTCCTATTTCTGTGGGTTTACCTGTTCATATGAATGGAATAAAAAAATATGTGATCTTTCGTCTCTGGCTAGCATAATGTTCTTGGCTGCCTCCTATATGCTCCCTATTAGTATCGAACCTGCAACCTGGGCATGTGCCCTTGACTAGAATCGAACCTGGGACTCTTCAGTCTGCAGGCCGACACTGTATCCACTGAGCCAAACTGGTTAGGGCTCCAAAGCTTGTTCATCACCCTAAACAGAAACCCCACTCCCGTTGAGTAATAACTCCTCTTTCCCCCTCCTCCCAGCCCCTGGTAATCTCTTAATTTTTATCTCAATGAATTTGCCTATTCTAGATATGTCATATACCAGTAAGTGTACCATGCAATATTTTCCCTCTTGTGTCTCTGGCTTGTTTCACTTGGCATAATGTTTTCAAGGTTCATCTATGTTGTAGCAAGCGCCAGACTTTATTCCTTTTTATGGGGGATCTAGAGGCCCAATGCACGAAATTTCGTGCAAGAGTAGCCTTCCTACCGGCACCGGTTTGGCTCAGTGGTAGAGCGTCGGCCTGTGGACTGAAAGGTTCCGGGTTCGATTCCGGTCAAGGGCATGTACCTTGGTTGCGGGCACATCCCCAGTAGGGGGTGTGCAAGAGGCAGCTGGTCGATGATTCTCTCTCATCGACGTTTCTAACTCTCTATCCCTCTCTCTTCCTCTCTGTACAAAATCAATAAAATATATTTAAAAAAAAAAAAAAAAAAAAAAAAAAAAGAGTAGCCTTCCTTCCCCCGGCTGCTGGCACCGGCTTCCCTCCAGCACCCGGGACCCGGGCTTCCCTCGCAGGGGGAGGCCTCACTCACCCGCCATAGCTCACCAGTCTGTGGCCCGGGCCTCCCTCTGTGGGGCGGTCATGGGGCGATGGCCGGGCCCCTGTCCAATATCGTCGCACCCGCCTTGGCTGGCCTCGCCCCAGTGGGAGTCAAAGTGTGGTCCCGGATGAAATCCTTCATCCGGATGGTCGTTCTGCTGTTCGGTCCTTAGGTCGATTTGCATTAAATGCTTTTATTACTGTATTTTCCGGTGTATAAGACGCCCCCCCCTTAATTTTACAGTTAAAACATAGGTTTAGGCCTATATTCGCTCTTTAAGACTACCCCCACTTCCGAGGCAACACCAGTTCTTTTTTTAATAGACCACCTCTCTGACTCTGGCCAATCTGAGCAGGCTTTTTACTAGAACACAGTGTAGCTTCGGGTACAGAACATGTATAATTTGCATGCATAAAAAGCCTGCTTGGATTGGCTGAGTCAGAGAGGCGGTCTATTAAAAAAAGAACTGGTGTTGCCTCGGAAGTGGGGGGTAGTCTTATACAGCGAATATAGGCCTAAACCTATGTTTTAACTGTAAAATTAGGGGGTCGTCTTATACGCCGGAAAATGCGGTACGTAGGACAATATTGTATGGCTAGACTACATTTGTTCACCTGTTGGTGTACACTTGTGTTATTTTCACGTCTGGCTCTTGTGAATAACGCTGCTGTGAATGTGGGCCTACAGGTACTGTTGGGTCCTTGGTGCAAGTCCCTGTGGGTAGATACCTGGGCTGGAATGATTGGCAGACCCCTGGCCTAGAATCTGTACGATGATAAACTAAATCCCAACATGGTTCTATACTTTTAAATGTTTGCCAATTTGACCTGTATGTAATGGTATGTGGTTGTGATTTCAATTTGTATTTCCTGGTTCCTCATGGGGTTGAACACATTGTCACATGTTTATAAGCCATTTTAACGCCCTGTTTTATAATGTGCCCATTAATTTTCCCATTCGTGGTTTGTCTTAACAAGTGAATGTTGATGAATTGGTGTCTCCAATGAACGTTTCCTCTGCTGTTTCTGCAGAACAAATAGTGGAGAAAGATGAAGGTCCGTATTACACTCACCTGGGATCTGGCCCCACGGTGGCCTCTATCCGGGAGCTCATGGAGGAGCGGTAAGTGATGCGCAGGTGTCCAAGGAGAAAGGGGCGAGTTGTGAATAGAGTGTGGGTTTTTAAGCACCTCTCATTTCCACGCCTTGGATAACAAGGAAAACTGATATTCAGACTGTGGAAGGTTGAATATGGGGTTCTTACCCCTACTTTCTTAAAATACACTTCTATTGATTTTAGAGAGGAAGGGAGAGGAAGAGAGAGATTGAAACATCAGTGATGATAGAGAGTCATTGATTGGCTGCCTCCTGCACATCCCTCTACTGAGATCAAGACCGCATCCCAGGCATGTGTCCTTGACCGGAATCGAACCCGAGCCCCTTCAGTCTGCAGGCGGACGCTCTGTCCACTGAGCCAAACCAGCTAGGGCTCTCGCCTCTATTACTTCTGGGTTTCTTTCTATCTATAGGTCTGCCCTTTATCAGTCCTCCTCTCCCCTTTTCCTTTCTCTCTTTCTTGAAATATAGTTTATTGAAGAAAAGTGTGGAATGTCTCTATGTCCTATAGAGTTTCCCACGGTCTGGAGTTTGCTGCTAGCTTTCCGTGGTGTCATTTAGCATGGTCTTCTGCCCTCCGTGCTATACATTGGTAGTTAGAGCTAAAGGCTTGGTCAGAATCTGATTGTATTTTCTTTCTTTTTAAAAAAACTACTTTATAGATGGCATTTTGTAGCTCGGCTAGGAGGTGTGTACTGTCCCATCTTTGGCCAGTGGTTGCCTCCTAAGTCCTTTCTACATGATCCTGGGTGTCTTGAACAGCTTTCTTGATTTCTCATATGACATATGTTCTGGGCTCACACTGTGTGTTTATCTAAGAAACCCTGCTTCGTCTTATTGTGGGGTAAGAGGACTTAAAAAAACAGGCTCTGGGTGCTGGGCAGGCTCATTTCATTGCCCCTGTTGTCCTCACTGTTTCTGAACCTTCTCAGTAGAAAGAGCGAAGATGTGTGTGTGTAGGTTTTTCACTTTTGTCATCGTTTAGTGATTCAGTGCATCATGAATGTATATTGACACTTCCAATTCAAACTCAAGCCTGTAGGGTTTTTACTTAGTAACTGTCTTTTGTTTTTGTTTTGTTTTTTAAGCAGTTTGTATGGATAGAGGCTTTAAAATCTGGGTAGGTGTCCACAGCAGGTGTTAAACGCGCCAAGTCCCAGTATATGGAGAGGTGAAATAGCTCAGGGATTGACAGCAGGTGGACACGGGAGCTAGACTGGCCCTGCCGCTTACTGCCAAGTCACTTAGATTCTCTCTGGCCCTTTTTCCTTTTCTGAAAGGAGGAGATGCTGACAGGAGTGCACAGGCTATGGAGTGTTGTGAGGGTAAACAGGATCGATTGCAGGTAAAACACTTAGTGTTTATTAGCAAGCACTGCATAGAGTGTCTCCCTCCTACACACGTACTGACTGCATTTTTTTAATAACAAGCTTTCGTATTTCTAGAGTAAAGGCAAAGATTGTGTAGACATAAACATGTTTATTCATATATATGTGGGGGACAAGGGGCAGAGACTGAGTGGTTTGCTCGTTTCCCCAAATTTGGGACCAAATTTTGTCTAACCAGGGAAGTCAGACGAATCCTGTCTTTAATATAGAAGGAAACATGATTTTGAACTAACTCAGAGCATCCCTGAATGAGGAAAAGGTAAGATGGATGGAGGACAGTGATCTTTTCTCATTACTCTTCCTTATCCTCTACCATCTGGAATCATATTATTCTAAGTAGCCCATCAGAACCCACGCTGGTTTGGTTCAGTGGATAGAGCATCAGTCTGTGGTCTGAAGGGGCCTGGGTTCGATTCCAGTCAGGGCACATGCCCAGGTTGCAGGCTGAATCCCCAGTAGGGGGCATGCAGGAGGTAGCTGATCAGTGATTCTCTCTCATCATTGATGTTTCTATCTCTCCCTCTCCCTTCCTCTTTGAAATCAATAAAAGAAATATATATGTATTTTTAAAGAGACAAAGTAGCCCATCAGAAAAGCAGGTGACCAGAGACCCAATCTCTAACTTCAAGCCTAATAGAAAGGGCACCTCTGGGTCCATGAGATTTAAAACAGGTTGTGTGGTTTACACGCATGCCTGCATGTGTCCACACACATGTGTGTTGCAGTTTGAAGGTTGGGAGGGGCATCGTCTTGGCCGTTGACTTTTGTAAGGAATCCTCACACCAACGTTTGCAGGTTGAGGGCTGTCGGGGAGTCAAACGTACAAAGTTTGGCTCTGGCTGTGTGGCTCAGTTGGTAGGGCATCGTCCCATGCACCAGGAGGTTACTGGTTCAATTCCTGGTCAGAGCACATGCCCATGAGCAGCCTCCATCTCTGGTAGAGTGCCATACAGGAGGCAGTGATCAGTGTTTCGCTCACACATTGATGTTCCTCTCTCTCTCTTTCTCCCTCTCCCTTCCTCTCACTCAGAATTTTTTTTTTTAAATCTTTAACACAGCAACAAAATAAACATGTTTGATCTGGGGCAGTTTTGGGATGTGTGTTTCTTGGTTGCAAATATGTGAGATTTATAGATAGCTGTCTAAATAACTTTTAGTTATAAAAGACTGTGTTTTTGAAACAAGGATTAAGAGATAGTGATAAAGTTGAGATTTTTCCCTTCTCTCCCTCTCCCTCTCCCTCCCTGCTCCCCACCCCATCACTACGTTAAAAATAGCCACACATAGATTCTTCAGAAGTTGATTGAAGGGAGGGATTCCTCTCAAGACCAGCAATACCTATGGTTTTCCTCAGTAACTGGTTTATTTTTATCTTGGGGACCTTGTAAATCATGCAACAGATTGCATGCGCGTCTTTATGTTGGCTGCTTGCAAGCTGGAGCCCAATTTGTGTGCCCTGGTGCATCCCCAGTCGGAGGACTCTTTGGCCGTGGGGGCCTGTTCAGATTCACTCCTGAGTCCTTCTGACAGCACCCTAAGGAGACCTCATTAGCTTCCCTTCCTGAGTTTCTCGTGGGATGAAAAGTTCCAGGCTCATCTCAGAAATACACACGGGACCCCACAGTTTGCATCCTGTGTGCCAACATCGTGTCTGTCTGTCCCACCGTTACTCTGATTCCATGACCTCGTGTAAACATCTCTCTCAAGTTCCTTTTGGGACAAGAAGGGGAGTGAGCGGTTGATGCGAATAACCAGGCTGGGGGTCCAGTTTGTGAACGGTTCAGGCTGTCTCTCTCCCTAGCCCTCCCCCTCTCTCTGCAGGGCCACGCCACTGCCTGCAGGGCCACGCTCCTGCCAGGAGTTAGCCAAAGGCAGGACGGGCAGCAAACTGGAGTCAGAGACCTGGTTGCTTTTAGCTTACCTGGTAAAGATTTGGAGAAAAGAGGGGGAGTCGAAAGGGAATCCTAAAATATTATCCCAGTTTATTATGCATTCCATACCTCCTGACTCCTCAGCCCCTCACGGTCGCTGATGACTGGAATCAGTCCTTCAGACCCGAATCTGGAGCAGCGTGCTGCACGCAGCCACGTGGCGGCGGCTGGACAGGGACCTTCCGCAGCCGAGGGGGCACTAAACGTTCATTCTAGGAGTGAAGAGCCAGCCCTGTCCCTCCCAGTGCTGGGGAGGGAGCAGGTGTCACCCCGTGTGACAGAGGGAGCCCTGAAGAAGGACCCCTTCAGACCCGTGCTCTCACCCTGGCGTGTGCGTCCGTCTCCTTCGGGCTTGTGAAAGCACAGATTTCGGGGCCTCGGCCCCGGGTCTCGAACCTCATGGTCTGGGTGGGACCTGCATTCCTCCCAGGGTCCCAAGTGGTGCCGGTCCTGGCACCAGCCTTTAAGAGCCGCTGGCTAGGACGATCAGGTTACCCTCGGGAATAAGGTTTCCATGCAGCCTCTTCCTGCAGACTTAGTTTAGGGCCTGGGAATTCGTCTGTATTTCTATTTTTTAAATATAATTGATTTTTTTTTTTTTTGTACAGAGAGGAAGTGAGAGAGATGAGAGAAACATCGATGAGAGAGAAACATCGATCAGCTGCCTCCTGCACACCCCCTACTGGGAATGTGCCCGCAACCAAAGTACATGCCCTTGAATCGAACCCCTTCAGTCCGCAGGCTGACTCTCTACCCACTGAGCCAAACCAGTGAGGGCTCATCTGTATTTCTAAAAGGGCCTCTTCATGATAGGCCAGAGAGTCAGACGTTCAAAAAAAAAAAAATGAAAGAAAGAAAGAAAAGAAAAGAAAAAATTGCATCTGGACTTGGAGGGTTGTCTTTAAACGCTGAGATGGTTCTGGTTTTTCTAAAAATGTCCAGCTCCTCATTCCGTGCTTGGCCCTTCTGTTGGCCCTGGAATCAGGTCCCTGGCGGAAGCGTCCTCGCAGGGGTGGGACGGTGGGGAGGCCCACGCCAGTGTCCTCAGCTCACCCTCCCGCGGGGAGCCGGGTCTCCTTCCTGTCGGCTGTCGGTGAGAGCAGCGTGGTGGCCTCCGGCTGCTCTTCCCACAGCGACCCCAGCACACGCCCCGAGCACCCAGCATCTGCCCTCCCAACACACACCCCGAGCGCCCAGCATCTGCCCTCCCAGCGCACCCCCCGAGCGCCCAGCGTCTGCCCTCCCAGCACACGCCCGAGCGCCCAGCTCTGCCCTCCCAGCACACGCCCGAGCGCCAGCTCTGCCCTCCCAGCACACGCCCCGAGCGCCCAGCGTCTGCCCTCCCAGCACACGCCCCGAGCGCCCAGGGTCTGCCCTCGCCGGCCTCTTCCTGGTGAATCTTGTTGGGTTCAAAGTTTTCCGGGACCAAACAAAAGCAGCCCTGTCTGGTCTTGTCCTCCTGAGCCAGGCCACGCTGTGCGCTCCCCAGAGTGCTGTCAGCGAGCAGGGGGCTCTCACAGCCTCCGCATTTTAACCTGGTAGGTGTCAGACACACTTCTCGCTGCTTCCGGACACCTTGCACGAAAGAGAGAACTCGGAGAAACCTCAGATCAGGTTTTAAAGCCGCTCATTCTCTTTTCCAATGACAAAAATAAAACATGTCTATAGAAGGCTTTTTAAAAAAAAAGTTTAGTCGAAACCGGTTTGGCTCAGTGGATAGAGCATCGGCCTGCAGACTCAAGGGTCCCAGGTTTGATCCCGGTCAAGGCATGAACATTGGTTGCGGGCACATCCCCAGTGGGAGGTGTGCAGGAGGCAGCTGGTCAATCTTCCTCTCTCATTGATGTTTCTAACTATCCCTCTCCTTTCTCTCTGTGGAAAATAAATAAAATATATATTTTTTTAAAAAAAAATAAAGTTTAGAGTGAATAACGCTCTTTAGCTATTCGCCTTCCCGGAAGAATTGGAAAAGAAATGTTTACCTTTCAATGTTTCCTAAGCATTTACAAAGCTTGCATATGGATATAAAGAAATTTTGAACCCAATGAGGTCAATCACACTATCCCCACAGTTTGCAACTGCTCCCCCCCTTAGTTTCTTCCTTGCTGTCCATGTAATTCCATTGAGTCCTTTTAGATGGCTACTCGGCTTCCCATTATGTGGAAATGTATTTGCTGAGCCAGGCCTACACTGGACACTTAAGCTGTTTCTGATTGTTTGTTGTTGATGCAGCAATGAATATCTCGTGCCTCAATCTCGGTGCATTTGCACAATTATTTCTGAGGTAGAGATATCTAGATGTGTTGAGTAAGTAAGATAGAGCATATGTGTATCTGCATTTGTGTGTTAACAGTCTGTATAACTGCCATAGCTGTGATAACATTCCCTTTAATGAAATAGTACATTAAAACAATACGCTGTGACCAAATTGCATTCACTAGAGTCGTGGTGGGCAAACCGAGGCTCGCGAGCCACATGCGGCTCTTTGGCCCCTTGAGTGTGGCTCTTCCACAAAATGCCTCAGCCTGGGCGAGTCTCTCTTTTTTTTTTAAAATATATTTTTATTGATTTTTTTACAGAGAGGAAGGGAAAGGGATAGAGAGTTAGAAACATCAATCAGCTGCCTCTTGCACACCCCCCACTGGGAATGTGCCCACAACCAAGGTACATGCCCTTGACTGGAATTGAACCCGGGACCTTTCAGTCCACAGACCACGCTCTATCCACTGAGCCAAACCGGTTTTGGCTGGGTGAGTCTCTTTTAAAGAAGTCACATTAGAAGATGTTTAAGTTTAAAAAATTTGGCTCTCAAAAGAAATGTCAGTCGTTGTCCTGTTGGTATTTGGCTCTGTGGACTAATGAGTTTGCCACCCTCTGCCCTAGAGCAATCCAAGGACAGTTGATTTAGGAAGTCTGTTCGAAGAGCACCCATGCTAACTGACCAAAGAAGGAAAGCCATTCCGTCATCTCTCCCCTCAGGTGCTAGAAATGTATTTGATGAAGTAATCAATTCTTTTTTTTTTTTTTTAACATTTTTCAAAACGTGATTACGTTTATTGGGGGTGACCTTGGTTCATAAAAGTAATCAATTCTTGATTTAAAATCCTTAGAACAGAAGACCCTTTCAAAGGAAGGGAGTCTTTGTGTCTGTCCCAGAGGCAGCGGGCTGCGTGCTCAGCGATGAAAGGTTTACGTTTCCGGTAAAGTTGGGAAATAAGCAGAGATGCCTGCTGGCACTCAGTACAGAGGAGAGAGACTGACATAGAGGCATAGAGAATGGAAAGCAGGAGGTGGCAAGCGACCACTACTTACAGGCGATATGACCCTGTACCTGAAATGGAAAAGCTATTAACAATCAGACCATTCGGGAAGATGGCTGCTTACATTGCCGAAACCGGTTTGGCTCAGTGGATAGAGCATTGGCTTGTGGACTAAAGGGTCCCGGGTTCGATTCTGGTCAAGGGCATGTACCTTGGTTGTGGGCACATCCCCAGTGGGGAGTGTGCAGGAGGCGGCTGATCGATGATTCTCTCTCATCGATGTTTCTAACTCTCTATCCCTCTCTGTAAAAAGTCAATAATATATATATATATATATATATATATATATATATATATATATATATATATATATATATATATTTTTTTTTTTTTTTTTTTTTAATTTTTAAAAAAGAACAACTAGTGTGTATTGGACTCCCTGGTGCCAGGGACTGGGCAGCACGTCCAGCAATGCACCCCGTGTGCCTCCGTGACCGTGTCCCAAGCCGAGGAGGAGGAAGTCATTTTGCCTCCCCTTTGCAGATGGGGAAACCGAGGCTTAGAGAAGTCCCGTCCTTTGGCCACGGCTCTTGTGGCAGGAATGTAGCTGGGCTGCCCCTCAGGCCGTCTGTCAGGCCTGCAAGACTGCACTTTAAGCAGCATTTCCCCCGGGGAGTTGTGTGGCTGGGAGCAGGTCAGCTCAGCTCTGGAGCCTGAGCTGCATCCCCTCTGAAGGTGCTCTGGTTAACTAGCCCAGTGCTCGGGCTAGTCAAACTCATTAATCAACAGAGCCAAATATCAACAGTACAATTGGAATTTCTTTTGAGAGCCGAAAACCGACTTCTGCGCATGAATGCCGGCACATGGCATTTTGTGGAAGAGCCACACTCAAGGGGCCAAAGAGCCACCTGTGGCTCTAGAGCCGCAGTTTGCCGACCACTGAACTCAACGGTCTCAGAATCCACGCGTGTGTGCCCGTGTGCAGGGCAGCCAGGCATGTTGACTGTCCGGAGGCATCTCGGAGCCAGGGTGTCCTTGTTGCTTCTCCTGTCTCTGTGGTCTGCATCCTGTCCAACTGTCGGGAGGGTGGGGGGTTGGTTGAAGGAGCACGGAAAGGGTTTCCGCTTATTTTCTTGGGCTTGTTGACTGTATAAATAGTGCTCGGGGTGGCTGGGCTCACGGGGCTGGACACCGAGGCCTGTGTGTGGCCTTGGGCTTGACCCCCTTCGGAGGCCATCGTCGGGGCGTCCTGCTGGCCTTCGCCCGGACAGAGCTGGGCCGTGACAGACCAGCGGCCCTGGGACCTGGGGTGGCCACTCTGTCCCCAGAGGCTCTGAGCAGAGTCAGCATTGACACTTGCTCTCCCTTCTCCGTGGTCCCTGCAGGAACAGGCACCCACGGAGCGCGCCCCTCGCTGGGGTCGCTCTCCCTCGGTGCCTCTGAGCTGTGGTGCTTTGCCGCCCTCTGCAGGTACGGAGAGAAGGGGAAAGCCATCCGGATCGAGAAGGTCATCTACACAGGGAAGGAGGGCAAGAGCTCCCGCGGCTGCCCCATCGCCAAGTGGGTGAGTGTGGTGGCCGTGGCTGTGCCCACTCTCCGGGCTGGGTGTGTGGGGGAGGCCGACCCGGCCTCGGGCCAGGACCTCGGAGCTGGCACCCGGCACTCAGCGTCCTGACTCCCAGCCTCTGCTCTCTGTCCTCTTTTTGTTCACATGCCGGCCCTGGCACCCGGCTGGCCTCCGAACCGCTCTAGCCATTGTACAGCTCATCCCGTCCCCGCGTTCCGGGCTGTAGAGAGAAGGAAAGGGGGAGCTGAGGTGGCGTCTTCCCCAAGTCCGGGCCCCGCTGTGGCCGACTCTGACTCCTCTGCCCCCGCTGTGTGCCCGGAGCTCCTGGTGTTCTGCCCCATGCCTGGAGTGGGCTGGCGAGGCGGGGGCAGGGGCAGGGGCAGGGGCAGGGGCAGGGGCGTTTCTGCCTTTGGCTGTCCCAAGTGAAGCTGCTCGGACCGTGAGGCTATAAGTACCTGCCCGCGGCCCTGCTCTCACTTCCTGGGGGTGGGATTGACTGGTTCTGTGGGAATTGTCTGTTTAGCTTTTTGAGGAACTGCAAAAACTTTTCCACGGCACCACGGTCCTTGTTTTTTAAACCAGAAACATACAGACAGGCAGCATTTTCTCTGCAAGTGTTTTAGGACGACAAAATTCTCAATATACACTGAGTGGCCAGATTATTATGCTCTCTGAATGCATAGTAATCTGGCCACGTGTGTGTGTGTGTGTGTGTGTGTGTGTGTGTGTGTGTTTTAGAGGCCTGGTACATGAATTCGTGCATGGGCGGGGTTTGGCCAGCCTGGCCAGGGAGAGGGGACATGTGCAGTTGGCCAGCCTGCCTGCTGGTGGAACTCTTGGTCCAGGGGACAATTTGCATGTTAGCCTTTTATTATACAGGATGTACACTGAGTGGCCAGATTATCATGCGTTCAGAGATCATAATAATCCGGCCACTCGGTGTATTTTGCCTTGCGATGCTATCTCTGTGTTCCTACGCCTCCATAAGTAATGAATAACTCAGCTTTTGTAATAATTATTGTCACCGTAACGGCCTCAGCCTCTGTGGGGGTGGCACCCCCGGGGCAGTGCTCCGTGGACCTGCACACACGCACACACACACACCCCCGTCTGCGGCAGAGGGAGGGGCGTGGCCCCGTGGGTAACGCGCCCGCCCGCCCGCAGGTGATCCGCAGGCACACGCTGGAGGAGAAGCTGCTGTGCCTGGTGCGGCACCGGGCGGGCCACCACTGCCAGAACGCCGTGATCGTCATCCTCATCCTGGCCTGGGAGGGCATCCCCCGCAGCCTGGGCGACACCCTGTACCAGGAGCTCACCGACACCCTCCGGAAGTACGGGAACCCCACCAGCCGGAGATGCGGCCTCAACGACGAGTACGTGGGGCCGGCGGCCGGGCGGGACACGGGGGAGTCTCGCCGCGCAGGGCTGTCTGTCCCGCGGGTTAGGCCTGGGGGGGCCGCGCAGGGCTGTCTGTCCCGCGGGTTAGGCCTGGGGGGGCCGCGCAGGGCTGTCTGTCCCGCGGGTTAGGCCTGGGGGGGCCGCGCAGGGCTGTCTGTCCCGCGGGTTAGGCCTGGGGGGGCCGCGCAGGGCTGTCTGTCCCGCGGGTTAGGCCTGGGGGGGCCGCGCAGGGCTGTCTGTCCCGCGGGTTAGGCCTGGGGGGGCCGCGCAGGGCTGTCTGTCCCGCGGGTTAGGCCTGGGGGGGCCGCGCAGGGCTGTCTGTCCCGCGGGTTAGGCCTGGGGGGGCCGCGCAGGGCCTGTCTGTCCCGCGGGTTAGGCCTGGGGGCGAGGGGGGGGGTCCCGGCCTGGGCTCCGGTCAGGGCCGGGGAGGGAGGGCCTGTCTGTCCCGCGGGTTAGGCCTGGGGGCAGGGGGGGTGGGAGAGTCCCCGGCCTGGGCCCGGTCAGGGCCAGGGAGGGCCTGTCTGTCCTGCGGGTTAGGCCTGGGGGCCAGGCGGGGGGAGTCCCCGGCCTGGGCTCCGGTCAGGGCCAGGGAGGACCTGTCTGTCCCGTGGGTTAGGCCTGGCGGGGGGGGGGGGGGGGGGGAGGTCCGGGCCTGGGCTCCGGTCAGGGCCAGGGAGGGCCTGTCGGTCCCGCGGGTTAGGCCTGGGGGCTGGTGGGGGGGAGTCCCCGGCCTGGGCCCGGTCAGGGCCGGGGAGGGCCTGTGGGCGTGGCTCAGCTTTGCTGTCATGCCCAGATCCACTCTGAGGGTCACTTGTGTGAAGAGTGTATAATAAGGAAGGAGACCAGATTTCCAAAAATCGGGACTTTTTAAAACACCGCAGGATGCGGGAGAAATAGTTAAAAATTGGGACTGTCCCGCCAAAAGCGGGACGTTTGGTCACCTTAGTGTATAAGTGCCCCACTGATATACATCCATCGAATTCACAGAGCCTATCCTCATAGGGGTCCCCCCCCCCCGCCATTTTTTCATATTAAGGTATTTTTATTTACAATAAAATTCAACCTGTGAGGTCCACAGCTTGAAGAGCTTTGGCAAATGTTTGCGGTCCTGCAGCCACGACCATCGTCAATAAAGATACGGACAGTTCCGTCGTCCACACAACCTCCCAGGGCCCCTTTGTCCCAGGCCCTTCCCCCACCCCAGCAGCCACCAGTCAGTCTTGTTTCCTGTCCCTGGAGGTTCAGAGATCATCATCACCTGGCCACTCCGCGTATTTTGCCTTCCAGTGTTATCTCTGCATTCCTACGTCTGTATAAACCAGGAACGTTTAAGCGCGTTTCATCAGCGCGTCTGCACCGCGGGGCAGCCTTCCGCGCCCGTCCCCCTTCCCTCCGCGCAGTGTTCCCACATCCCCTGGGCATAGCTCCTTCCTTTTCCCTGCGGCAGGGTTCCCCCGCCCGGCCGCACCCCCCTGTGCGCCCGTTCCCCAGCGGAGGAGCACGCGGGGTGCTTCTGGGTGTCATGAAGGGCTGAGTTGCGATGTCGGTGTGTGTGGAAGGCCTGTCAGCAGCTGGGCCTGCGGGAGGTTCAAACCCCGCGGCCCCCGCCCCGGCCCTGTGGGTGCGGCCCGTGAGAGAGCTGTGAGGACGTCGGAGTTAAGACACAGTGTGACCCCGCTGGGTGTCTGACTAGCCTCCTCCCCCCTCCTCAGCCGGCCCAGGTGCTTCTCCCACCGGCAGGCCCTCGGGAGGGGGGCAAAGAGCCGGCTCTTCCCCCCAGGACACATGGGGAAGGAGGGGCGGGTGGAGGCCGGGGTCCCAGGCTCGGCGGGGCCTCTGGGGGCGGGGAGGAGGGAGAGCCTGAAGCAGCAGTAAACCGTCGGGTTCGTGCCTGACGCGCGGGGTGTGTTGCAGCCGGACCTGTGCTTGCCAAGGCAAAGACCCCAACACCTGCGGTGCCTCCTTCTCCTTCGGCTGCTCCTGGAGCATGTACTTCAACGGCTGCAAATACGCCCGGAGCAAGACGCCTCGCAAGTTCCGCCTCGCCGGGGACAACCCCAAAGAGGTGAGGGCTCCCCCGGTGTCCTCCGCTGCCCGGAGGGGTTAACACACGCCTCGCAGACGCTTTACTTTCTCACCAGCCTCGTCGGGCTGACGATACGGTCACTGGGGAATGCGCAGAGAGGGGCAGCGAGTGAGAAATCGGGCTTCTCACTGCAAGTGCTTCAGGCTCTTCCGGTTTAAAACCGGCTCTTTAAAGATCCCAGCTTCTCACCAGCATTTGACCCTTTTAGAGAGTAACCACTGCCCCTCGTGCTCCCCCAGACCTCTCTCTGGGGCTGGGGGTGCCGCAGGAAGAGGCCTCTGGTGCTGGCGGCGGCACCTGGGTGGCAGCCAGGGAGGTCTCGCTCTTGCATTTCTAAGCCTGTGAACGTGGTCCTCCCTCCTTATCCCGTTTTCTTCTGTGAAAACCCTCTGCACCTCCTCTGGAAACACTGCAGTGTCTGCGAGGCGCTCCTGCCGCCCTCCTCGCTGCCCTCTGACCGACCCCCGGCCCTTCCCACCGCCCGTGGCTGGGGCCGCTGCTCTGTCAAGGGCAGCGCTGTCCGCTGGGGTGTCCTCCGTGGATGGAAATGCTCTCTGTCGCCCGTGCAGGAGCCACAGGAGGCTGCGGGCGCCTGGGATGTGGCTCCTGCACCAGAGGGGCTGAACTTACTTAATTTTAATTAAAATTAACTTCTGTATCAGTAGCCACATGCGGCTGTGGTGCGGGTGTGGAGGGTGGGGCTTTGAACTCTGGGTGCCTGGCTGGGGCTCTGTGCCTGGCTGGCGGCGGCGTTCCCAGCACAGACCTTGACCCCCCCCCCCCCTCAGCCATTCCTGACCTGTGTGTGATGTGGGAGGAGGACCCACACTCGCTGCTCGTGCTGCCACATGCTGCCTGCCACGCCGCACCGTCCGGGGGCCCGGGCCCTCGGAAGCCAGTGCGAGGCCGTGCGGCCTGGCGGCAGCTTTTCCCGCTGAGCTTCAGTGTCGCAGCGGAGAGCCCTGGCTCCCGTCCTCCCCGGGGGCGGGCGGGGCGGGCGGGCGCGGGCGGGCTGCCCCATGTGCGGTGCCCTCTCCGCAGGAGGAGGTGCTGCGGAAGAGCTTCCAGGACCTGGCCACCGAAGTCGCCCCCCTGTACAAGCGGCTGGCGCCCCAGGCCTACCAGAACCAGGTACCGGTGCTGGGCCCGCCCCCCCGGGTCACCCCGTCTCTGCCCAGCGCCCGGGGTGGGGGGCCGGGGTGAGCTCCTGAGCTCCTCACAGGGACGGCCCAGCCTGAGGGGGAGCGGGGATGCGGTTCTTCGCTGAGACCCCTCCCCACACCACACGGACTGCGTCCCAGACCGTCTCTCCTCCATCCTGGACTCCGTCCCCCTCCACCGCCTCCGGCCCGGGGTCCGCTGGGGAGGCTTGAGTCTCTCTCACCCATACCCACGCACCGCTAACTTGGGGTGTGGAGCGCTCACAAGCAGGGACCAAAGCTATGGGTTCCGAGGGGCCCGGGAAGTGCCCCCGGCCCGGTGAGGGACCCCGGAGGTAGCCCAGGAGAATAATTCCTTCCGGGGCCTCAGCCGGGGACCCGCCGTCCTGCAGCCCAGAGGCAAGGGGACTGGGAGCCGCCGCCTCCCTCCCCCACACCTGGCCGACCAGACGCAGGTGCACGGTGTGGCCCCTCCCGCAGGTCACCTGACCGCTCCCTGGCCGTCCACACAGGTGACCAACGAGGAGATAGCAATCGACTGCCGCCTGGGTCTGAAGGAAGGGCGGCCCTTCTCGGGGGTCACGGCCTGCATGGACTTCTGTGCCCACGCCCACAAGGACCAGCATAACCTGTACAACGGCTGCACCGTGGTAAGGAGGCCCCGCCCACCGTCCATCCTGGGAGGCGGCCGGCTGGCCTCTGCAGACAGCTGGGCTCACGCAGGGAGGGAGCGAGAGATGCTCAGGCTCTGGGCCTGCCCGCCGGGCAGTCTGCTCAGCCCAGCTCTCAGAAAACCCTCACGGACAGGGCTTCCTTGTTTCCATGATCGGGTGGCTGCTACGGAATGCAGCCCCTTGGGCACCTGGAGCACGCACCTACTCACACACACACACACACACACACTCACACACCAACCACACAGACACAAACACACACACACCAACCACACACACACACACTCTCACACACCAACCACACATACACACACACTCACACACCAATCTCACACACACACACACACCAACCACACACACACACACCCACTCACACACCAACCACACAGACATACACACATACTCACACCAACCACACACACACACTCACACTCACACACCAACCACACAGACATACACACACACTCACACACCAACCACACACACACACACACACACACACACACTCACACACCAACCACACAGACATACACACACACACCAATCACACACACATACGCTACCGTGTGGCTCCAGGTGTCTGTGAACACTTGGACTGAAATCCAAACACCCTCTCGATTCATTCTGTGTGCACATGTTGACTGTGCCGGGTACGGCTCTGAAGCCCGGAATGAAATGCACAGTCCCTCCCAAGAAGGGGCCGTGTTGTCCGGGAGCGGTGAAGGCTGAGGAAAGATGCAGGCGGCTGGGGGGGACGTGATAGGTGATGTTTCAGAGGCAGAGAGGCCTCCCTGAGGAGGGGCGCCCGAGCTGAGACGTGAAGGAAGCGAGGGTCGGGAGCTGCACGTCTGGGGGTGGCGTGCCCTGGACGGAAGGACCACAGAGGCAGAGTCTTGGGGAGTGAGGATGGGGGGTGGCAGGGACCAGGGCCGTGGGTTGTGCTCTCAGTGTGATGGGAAGTCACTGGAGGACTCCTCAGCGGCGGGTGGTAAGATCTCATTCATAAAGTCAGACACATCTTCTTGCTTCTGCAGATGGAGAATAAAGTATGTGGAGTGGGGGGAGGGTGGACGGGGTGGGGGAGAGAACCAGAGGAAGGCCCTTGGGATGCTGGGACAGTTATCTGGGCCGGAGGTGATGGGGCTTGGCAGGCGTGAGGGTCGGAGTGGGAGGTAACTGGAGAGATTTTGGATGGTTTTGAAGATGCAGCCGGGAGGATTTGCTTTGGGAAACAGAGACGACTAGAGGCCACACTCAGGTTTTTAGTTGAGCGGCTGGGTGAGTGTTGGTATTATTTACTGAGATGCAGAATAACGGGGAAGACCAGTTTTGGGGTGAAAAATCAAGAATTCTCTTTTGAGATGCCTGTTGGATAGATGTCTGGGAGGAGACGTAGCATAGGCAGGGGAGATGGGAGAAATGAACTTGGGACGGGTCAGCATGCCGTTCGTGGTTAGAGCCACGAGGCCAGAGGCAGCCGGCAGGAGAGTGAGTGCAGAGAGGGGGTTCGGGCTGGAGTGGGAAGCAGGGCTGGAGGTCGGTCCAACCCAGAATGTGTGAGGCCTGCAGACGGGGCTCCCGGGGCTGAGGAGAGGCGAGGGCACCAGCACATTCATCTAAAGGGGGGCTCCCAGAGTCAGGTGAGGCTTGCGTCCCCACGGAGATGGGGGCCCCCACTAGGATGCCATTTCTCCACCTGGTCTTGCTTCTCCGTGGCCACGGTGAGAAGCAGGGTGGGGCAGGCTCCTGGCTAGACGCTTTGGTGAGGAGTTCTAGCTGAAATAGAGAGAAAAGGAGGGTCCTTCAGGGTTAGGAGTGGGTGGGGAAGAGGACGGGCAAGGAGCACAGAGCTTCTAGAGTTTGGAGTGAAAAGAAGTAAACTTTTCTCAATGTGAATAGAATATTCTACTAATTAACAATTATGCCTTGCAAAAAAAATAAAAATAAGCAACAAGAAAGGCCCTGGCTGGTTTGCTTAGTAGTTCGAGTGTTGGCCCATGGACTGAAGGTTGCTGGTTCAATTCCCAGTCAAGGGCATGTGGCTCAGTTTTAGGTTTGATCCCTGCTCCCCCCTCCCCCTACCCGTATCAATACTGTATTAATGCATTAGAACCAGCTCCTAAATCATATTGGAGAATATTTCATGTATAAGAAAATATTCATACTATACTTCTTTAAAATATATTTTTATTGATTTCAGAGAGGAAGGGAGAGGGAGAAGAGAGGAAAAACATGAACGATGAGAGAGAATCATTGATCGGCTGCCTCCTGCACACCCCCTGCTGGGGATGCAGCCCGCAACCAGAGCATGTGCCCTGCCCAGGAATCGTGACCTCCTGGTTCAGAGATCGAGGCTCAACCGCTGAGAACCCCAGCTGGGCTGCCCCATTCTTTTTATAATAAATGACATCACTAGAGCACTGCGTGCAAAACATGATCCTCTTACCAGAGGTGAGTGTGCGCATGCATGTGTGACCGGAGTTTACAGCGATTACTTCGTGGCAGTGGGGTTGTAGAGAAAGTTTTTATTTCCTTTTTGCTGGCTTGAGTTTCCACCACAAGCATATGCACTTTTTAACAAAAAGGAGAAGTATTTTACGTGCAAAAGGAGGCCATGTGTTCAGAGAAGGAGGAGGATGAGGCTGCAGGATCTAGCACAGTGGCAATCATGCCGGTCTGGAAGGCAAAGCCGGTCTCCCAGCTCTGACCCCCGCAGCCCTGACCCGGCCCCCTGCCGGCCCTGTGACCCCCGCAGCCCTGACCTGGCCCCCTGCCGGCCCTGTGACCCCCGCAGTCCTGACCCGGCCCCCTGCCGGCCCTGTGACCCCAGGCCAATCACTTCATCCCCTCTCGGCGTCGTTAAGAGGATCACATGAGAGAGTGTGAGTGGACATGCTTCGAAAACTCTAGCCCAGTGTTTCCCAAACTTTTGACATAGGTGTACCCCTTCTATAATTTTCGTAACGCTGAGTACCCCTCGTACTCATGAGAACGTAGAATTAGGCGCAGCTAAGCACAGTGCAGTGCATATCCCCACCAAACTCTTCCCGTGCCCCTGGGGGTACGCGTACCGCACTTTGGGAAACACTGCTAGGGCAGCGGTCGCCAACCTTTCAGATGTCACAGACCACGGACCGCTGGTTGGCCACCGCTTCTCTAGAGCATGCCGCACCCTGTGAGCCCAGACAGATGTGATGCCGCACCCTGTGAGCCCAGACAGATGTGATGCCGTCACCCTGTGAGCCCAGCCAGATGTGATGCCGTCACCCTGTGAGCCCAGACAGATGTGACAGCGTCAGTCAGTGAGCCCAGCCAGATGTGATGCCGTCACCCTGTGAGCCCAGCCAGATGTGATGCCGTCACCCTGTGAGCCCAGACAGATGTGATGCCGTCACCCTGTGAGCCCAGACAGATGTGACAGCGTCAGTCAGTGAGCCCAGCCAGATGTGATGCCGTCACCCTGTGAGCCCAGACAGATGTGATGCCGTCACCCTGTGAGCCCAGACAGATGTGATGCCGTCACCCTGTGAGCCCAGACAGATGTGATGCCGCACCCTGTGAGCCCAGACAGATGTGATGCCGCACCCTGTGAGCCCAGACAGATGTGATGCCGTCACCCTGTGAGCCCAGACAGATGTGACGGCGTCACCCTGTGAGCCCAGACAGATGTGCTCTGTGGGCAGTCCTCCTCAAGGGAATCGGGAGCGTTAGGGCCGAGCGGCTGCCTGGCGCTGGGGCTGTGTGTGGGGGGGGGGCGCCAGTGGGGCATGCTCGGCCCCTTTGCGCCGTGTTGGGCTCCTCCACCCCGTGCCGCCCCCCCTCTGCCCGGCAGGTCTGCACCCTGACCAAGGAAGACAATCGCTGCGTGGGCAGGATCCCCGAGGACGAGCAGCTGCACGTGCTGCCGCTGTACAAGATGGCCGCCACGGACGAGTTCGGCAGCGAGGAGAACCAGAACGCCAAGGTGGGCAGCGGGGCCATCCAGGTGCTCACCGCCTTCCCCCGCGAGGTCCGCCGCCTGCCGGAGCCCGCCAAGTCCTGCCGCCAGCGGCAGCTGGAGGCCCGGAAGGCGGCGGCCGAGAAGAAGAAGATCCAGAAGGAGAAGCTGAGCACCCCGGAGAAGATCAAGCAGGAGGCCCTGGAGCTGGCCGGCATCGCCGCGGACCCAGGTGTGTGGGGCGCGGGCACCCTCCGGGGCGGCGTTGGCGCTGTCGCGGGCTGGACCCGGGCGGCTCCCTCTCGGCCCCCTTCCTGCCCCGAGATAGAACGGCAGAGAGGAAAGTCCTGGGGGCCCTCTCTGCCCCCTGGGCCACCCCATTATCTTTTTTTAATTATTATTATTGATATTTTTACAGAGAGGAAGAGAGAGAGAGAGAGAGTTAGAAACATCGATCAGAGAGAATCATCAATCAGCTGATCAGCTGCCTCTTGCACACCCCCTACTGGGGATGTGCCCACAACCAAGGTACATGCCCTTGACTGGAATCAAACCCGGGACCCTGAGTCCGCAGGCCGACGCTCTATCCACTGAGCCAAACCAGATTCAGCCACCCCATTATCTTGATCTTGTCAGGGTGGAGGCCGCCACGGCCCTAGGACACTGTACCTGGTAGGAGACACCTACGGAGCAAGCCCAAGGAGGCGTCTTACCTCCTGGAGGAGCTGGGATCCCCACCTGCCCGCTCGCTCCCTCGCTGAGCGTCTGGAGGGGGGACCTGGCTTCGGGCGTGTGGGCTGCCGTGGGGGCGGCGGGCGGAGCAGCCTTGTCCCTGCTCCTGGCCCGTGTCCCTGCCGTGGCCGGCTCGAGAGGAGGAGCTTCGGGGAGGACACGGGGTGGTTGGCCGGGGTGGGGAGCGGGCAGTGACGCCGGCCGGGCTGTGGGCTCTGTGAGGGCTCTCCCAGGGCTCCCGCGGGTCCGGGGGCCACGCCGAGCGGCACCCAGGGCGAGGCCGGCCTCCCTCGTCTCGCCTGAGGTGACCAGACTTTCGGCGGGACAGTCCCGATTTTAAACAGTTTTCCCTGCGTCCCGCGGCGCTTTACAAACAGTATCGGTTTTTCCAAAAATCGGGACTGCTTTCAAAACGCCGCGGGACGCGGAACAAATAGTTAAAAATCGGGACTGTCCAGTCACCTTAGTCTTTTTTTTTTTTTTTTAAATATATTTTTATTGATTTTTTTACTGAGAGGAAGAGAGAGGGATAGAGAGTTAGAAACATCGATGAGAAAGAATCATCGATCAGCTGCCTCTTGCACACTCCCCATTGGGGATGGGCCCACAGCCAAGGTACATGCCCTTGACCGGAATCGAACTTGGGACCCTTCAGTCCGCAGGCCGATGCTCTATCTACTGAGCCAAACTGGTTTCGGCTGGTGTCTTTTAAAAAAAAAAAAAATATATATATATATATATATATATATATATATATATATATATATATATATATATATATTTTATTGATTTTCTTTTTTTTTTTTACAGAGGAAGGGAGAGGGATAGAGAGTTAGAAACATCGATGAGAGAGAAGCATCGATCAGCTGCCTCTTGCACACCCCGTATTGGGGATGGGCCCACAGCCAAGGTACATGCCCTTGACTGGAATCGAACCTGGGACCCTTCAGTCCACAGGCCGAGGCTCTATCATTGAGCCAAACTGGTTTCGGCAGTCACCTTAGTCTTGCCTGATCTGAAGAAGGAAGCCCTGGGGGCAGGGGGGGGCGGGGGGAAGGAAGAGGGGGGTCCCACCCCAGCCCGCCAGGGCTCCGCGGCGGCGCCCCCAGCGGCTCCCTCTCCGTCTTGCCTCCCGTTCTCCCCAGGCCTGTCTCTGAAGGGCGGCTTGTCCCAGCAGAGCCTGAAGCCCTCGCTCAAGGTGGAGCCACAGAACCACTTCAGCTCCTTCAAGTACGGCGGCAACACGGTGGTGGAGAGCTACTCGGTGCTGGGCAACTGCCGGCCGTCCGACCCCTACAGCATGAGCAGCGTGTACTCCTACCACTCCTACTACGCGCAGCCCGGCCTGGCCCCCGTCAACGGCTTCCACTCCAAGTACGCGCTCCCGTCCTTCGGCTACTACGGCTTCCCGTCCGGCGGCCCCGTCTTCCCCTCCCAGTTCCTGGGCCCCGGCGCCTGGGGCCACGGCGGCGGCGGCGGCGGCGGCGCCGGGGGCGGCAGCTGCAGCTTCGAGAAGAAGCCGGACCTCCACGCGCTGCACAGCAGCCTGAGCCCGGCCTACGGCGGTGCTGAGTTTGCCGAGCTGCCCGGCCAGGCTGTGCCCGCGGACGCCCACCACCCCGCGCCTCACCACCAGCAGCCTGCTTACCCGGGCCCCAAGGAGTACCTGCTGCCCAAGGCCACCCCCCAGCTCCACCCGGCGCCCGGGGACCCCTCCCCCTTTGCACAGAGCGCCACCTGCTACGGCAGGTCCATCAAGCAAGAGCCGGCCGACACGCTGGCCCCGGCCGAGCCCGTGCCCAGAGACCCCGGCAGGATGGGCAAGACGCCGGTGCCCGAGGCGGCTCAGAACGGCGGGCCCGGGCACCGGTGGGGACAGTACTCAGGAGGCCCCAGCGAGTCCCCCAAGCGGACGAACAGCGTGGGCAGCAGCTGGGGGGTGTTCGCTCCCGGGGAGAGCCCCACGGCCGCCGTGGTCCCCGAGAAGCTGGGCTCCTTCGGGGCTGGCTGCCTGGCTCCCTCTCCCTTCCCGGAGGGCCAGTGGGGGCTGTTCGCCGGGGAGGGGCAGCCGCTGGCCCCCCAGCCCGGAGGACGGGGGCTGCGAGGCAAACCGTGGAGCCCCTGCAAGTTCGGGAACAGCCCCTCGGCCCTGGCCGGGCCCAGCCTGACGGAGAAGCCATGGGGCATCGGGGCCGGGGACTTCAACCCCGCCCTGAAAGGCGGCGGCGGTGGCGGCGGCCCCGGGTTCCAGGACAAGCTGTGGAGCCCCCTGAAAGGGGAGGAGGGCCGGATGCCCACGCCGGGGGCCGCCGGCCCGCTGGACAAGGCCTGGCCGCCCTTCGGCGTGCCCCTGGGCGCCCCCGGCGAGAAGCTGTTCGGGGCCCTGAAGCCCGAGGAGAAGCTGTGGGACCCCTTCGGCCTGGAGGAGGAGGCCGCCGAGGAGCCGCCCCCCGGCGGCGGCGGCGGCGGCGGCAAGGGGCCGGCGAAGGAGGCGCGGGCCCTGGCGGAGGAGGACGAGGAGGAGCTGTGGTCCGACAGCGAGCACAACTTCCTGGACGAGAACATCGGCGGCGTGGCCGTGGCGCCCGCCCACGGCTCCATCCTCATCGAGTGCGCCCGGCGGGAGCTGCACGCCACCACGCCGCTCAAGAAGCCCAACCGCTGCCACCCCACCCGCATCTCGCTGGTGTTCTACCAGCACAAGAACCTCAACCAGCCCAACCACGGCCTGGCGCTCTGGGAGGCCAAGATGAAGCAGCTGGCGGAGCGGGCGCGGGCGCGGCAGGAGGAGGCCGCGCGGCTGGGCCTGGGCCAGCAGGAGGCCAAGCTCTACGGCAAGAAGCGCAAGTGGGGGGGCGCGGTGGTGGCCGAGCCGCCGCCGAAGGAGAAGGGGGCGGTGCCCACCCGGCAGGCGCTGGCCGTGCCCACGGACTCGGCCGTCACCGTGTCCTCCTACGCCTACACCAAGGTCACGGGCCCCTACAGCCGCTGGATCTAGGGGCCCGGGCGCCGGCGTACCTCAGCGCCGGGCCCGGCCCGCGCTGCCTCTGTGGTGCTTTCGCCCTCACACCTTGGGGGAGGGGGAGGGGGGGACGCGCGGGTTGGGGGTGCAGAAGTCTTTTTTATCTATATATACATATATATAGATAGGCATATATATGTATTTATGGTCCAAACCTCAGAACTGACCCGCCCCTCCCTCCTCTATCCCCCACCCCCGCCCCGCCCCCCCACCTCCCCAGCACTTTGAAGAAAAAGCTACGGCCGTCGGGTGATTTTTTTCGTGATCTTAATATTTATATCTCCACATCGGCTCTCCCCTCCCCCGCCTTCTTGGGGCGGGGGGGGGGGCGGCTTTTTATTTTCTCTTGTTTTTAAAAACTCTATCCTTGTATATCACAATAACGATGGAAAGAAAGTTTATAGTGTCCTTTCACAAAGGAGTAGTTTTAAATTCCATTTAAAAATGTGTATTTATTGGATTTTTTTTTTTTTTATTTTTAAAAAAAAAAGCGACACGAGTAATGGTAAAAGGATGGTCAGGATCAGCCAGCCGTGCTCACGCCTGCCCCGTCTCCCGGGCCCAGCGAGCCTGGCCCCGCGGGAGCCCTCGGACGGACACACACGCCGTCCCCGCAGGGAGAAGCTGTAGGAGGACATCGGGGGTCCCTCTTCCAGGCGCCTGCTCGGAGCTGGGGAGCGGGACGGTGCACCCCAGGCCGGGCCCCCGAGAGGCTGGCGGCGACCCCCCCCCAGAAGCCAGGTGGGAAGTAGACAGCTCCGAGCTCGCTAGTCGCCACACTGAACCCTCTCGGCCCGTCACTCGCCACGTCCCAGGACGCCCTGCCCCGCCAGGCAGCACCTCGCGATGGCGCTCTTGGGAGCGGCTCTTCGGAGCCTTTGCCACCGAGTCAACAAGCCAGTGAAGACCACCGGCCCGAAGGGACTTGTCCTGTCGGCAGTGTCTAAACAAATGCCTCAGAGTCCATGCTGACCCCGGGAAAAGGGCTCCTGTCTCTTTAAAAGCAAGAAGTCGAACCCAAGCTGTGAAAAGCCAGCCTTGCCCTGCGTGGGGCGCTGTGCTGAGCCTGGTGCTGTAGTGAGTGTGCGGGGACCCCCGTGGCTCCGGGGGGCAGGTGGCTGCCTGCGGGGACAGTTACCGCATCTCTCCCCATTCCCGGATGTTCACGTCGGATAATGGTGCATGCCTCTCCCCCGAGCCCCTCCCCCCATGCTATCCCTCGGGGAGCGGGCCCACACTTTGCGTTTTTTAAACGCCAGAGTCAAACGTTTTCAGCCGGTAGCTATGGTTTTTCCCTCCCTCATTGGTGCCATTTCTCTCGTCGTCTTCTCCTTTCCTTCCTCCCCTCTCCGAACCTCTCGAACACACTCGCTCGAAAAAAAAAAAAAAAAAAAAATCCTGGTGCATTCGTTCGTTCGGTTCTTCAACATGTGCATGTGGTGCTTACTTTCCCCGGCGTGGCTGAGAGCGCGAGCCAGGGGGCCCGGCCGGCGGGCGCCGCCTCCGTGGGCAGCAGGTCGTTGGCATTGGCGTTGCTGGTGCTGCGAGTGGCGGCTGTGTCCGTCCGTATGGCCATGTGGTGAGTGGGAGGCTCGGTGAGGACACACAGGGGAAGGTGGCCGCGCGGTGAGTGACAGCCGAGCCCGGAGAGAGAGGGCAGGTGTTGGTTGAGCGGTCTTAGTCCGAGGTGGGTCTTCCTAGGACGAGGGAACAATCAGAGGAGGATGGTGGCGGCAGGCTCCTGCGCTCCCGGTGCCTCGGGTGAGCGGAGAGCCACCGGCCGGCCGGCCGGGCGGGGTGGGCGGCCGCTGTCCCCGGGGCACCGGCTGGGAGGAGGGCTGCCGTCTCGCGTGGTGGGCATTGGCGTGGTCTGGTTTTAACTGTAAATAGAGATTTTTTTAAGCACTTTTTTGCCTAGATTTAAAAACAGCGACTTGAAGAGAAGAAGTATGTTTTAACCTGTCCTTGTGGGAGAAAACTGTACATAGTAGCTGCATATTTAAACGTGCTTTGTCAATATCCTTCGCTTTTACCATATTCTGTAAAGTCGCGTTTATTTTACAGGACAGAAATGAAATATTATTGCTTTTGAAATAAATACCCAAGAGCTTATCAGGATTTAGAATTATTCAGAACTCAGATTTATAGGAAGAAAAAGAAAAAACATTTTAAAAAAAAAAAACAAAAAACTCTGACCCTCAGTCGGACAAGCTGAAGGCGGCGGAGTCTTGAACGAGCATGCTGACTTTCTAGTCTTGAGGACACGTGGGGCCCGTTAACCGCTCTTTTGCGTAATCGCATCCGTACTTTTATGCAGGTCTCGCTTGATTCCGTGCGTAGGTAGATACGGGGGTGCCTTGAAAACTTCATTTTAACTTAATCTTGAGCAAGAAATCAACAATATTTTGCAAAACGTTCGGAGAGTGTGACCGTCGGTGTGGCCGTGGGTTTGGAAGGCCCCGAGTGTAACCCAGGTGATTCTGATCCTTGGCACGCATGACTCCTGCTGGTGTGTGTGACCTAGACCCTCCCCCTCGCCGCCCTCCGGTAGCAAAGCCATTCACTGAGAAGAGAATCCTATACAAGCTCAGAGCATGCGATGTCTGCGCCCCACACCCCGCCCCCGCCCCCCCAGCTCCCACAGCCTTCGGTGCATAAATTTCCAGGTGAGCAAACAGGCTGCGCGGGGGGAGGCGGGAGGCAGCCCCCATGGGACGCCCCCAGCCCCTGGGAAAGGCGTTTGGGAAACCCGGTGGTGCTGTGGCGTGCTCACGCCCGTGCTGATGTGTGCACACTACATGTATGACCTACCTCAAGTCTCCGTCACTAAAACGAGCATGCTTTCGGCGTACGTTAGAAAAGGAACTATGCACAGCTCTCTATTCCCGACCTCCCCCCCTCCTGCTGCTGAAGGTTTCTGAAAGAGAAAAAAAAAAAAAAAATCAGATTTTTATTTTTTACGGGCCCTACCCTTTTTTTAAGTCCTAAAGGTGATCACCAGACATTTGTATCATGAAAAGAAAACCATAAATAAAGCCATTGCAACGAAAGAGCCTAACAGCATGACCCAAGTTCCAAGAGTAACTATGACAGCAACAGGCAGTGATGGAGCCTTCTAGTCTCCCCCGCCCCCCTCCGTGCGCCCTCCGCAGACATCTGCATGCAGCGCTGACCATTGGTTCCTCTCGTTTCGTTTTGTCGTCCCCTCTCCCCCCCCCCCCTCCTCTTTGTGTGCAAGGGACGTGCTTGCAAAGTTCTGTGCTAAGAGATTTTTGACATGAAAATTGCTTCGCGGCAGGTTCTCTCAGAACAACTGGTGCTAGCTCAAGGAACCATTCTTCAGCCATCGGAAATCTTGACGGGAGGTGTTGCATGGGTTTTGAGGCGTTCTGTGTGTGTTGTTGGGTTCGGGGTTTTTTTGGGGGGTGTGTGTGGGGGGCAGGGCCTCGGTTTCTGCTTTGCCTTCTCCCCGAGAGGACAGTGGTGTGCGTGGGAAGAGGCCACCCCCTGCCCCTCCTTGGTCCGTCCACCAGCCTCCTCGGGATGCCGCCGTGTGCAGAGCGAGGGGTCTTGACGTGCTGGGGAAGGGGAGAAGCCGCAGGGCTTTGTGGTGGCGGACTCGGCGGCCGCAGGTGTGCGAGGGCGGCTGATGACGAGTAGTCGGTGACCTGAGCTCGTGGCGGCAGGTGACCCACCGCCGGATCCCCGACCTGGGAGAGTGAGAGCGACATCCCTGATGTGCCTCCGCCAGTCTCTTCCCTTCCCTTACTGGAGTCGTGTCTCGCGGACTAGGAAGCATTCTTTTTTTAATGAATTGAAATCGTCTCAACAAAATGGTGCTATGGTGTTTCCATGTGACTGTCCCCGGCCCCGGCCTGCTGAGGTGCTATCGAGGTTCCGAAACCACAACCAACCAAAAACGAGGTGGGCTCCCGTCTCCGTGGCTTCTCCTCCCTCCCCGTTCGGTGCTGTCTCCTTCGACCCCGTGCTACCGCCCGCTCCGAGCAGCGTTCTGCTCTGTGCTGTCGTTCTTCCCGGAGGGGCCGAATGCCGAGAGGCAAGTCCCAAGGGCGGCCGCCCCCCGACTGCGGGTGTGGGGGCGGGGGGGCGGCCTGGCGTGGCTGGTGCTCCAGTTCCAACCCTGTCTTCTCAGGCCTCTCGAGAAAGGAAGGGCTTCGTTTCTTTTTTCTCCTTTTTTTTTCAGGAGGGGGGACGCCTGCCTCTCTCCTGCCTCTTCTAGCATGGCAGGCCTTCTCACGGCCAAGGACGCGCGTCCCCGCAGCCCGGGGTGCCGAGGAGCCCTCTCCCGGGGTCCCCCGTGCTCTGGTGCTCTGCAGGCCGAGGCGGACCCAGGGTCTCCCTCCCCGGGCGCCTGCCGGGCCGTGGGGGGCCGGGCTCCTCCCGTGGCTCCTCCCAGCCTTCGCCCAGTGTTGCTTCTGCCTCTCACCCGCCGCCGCCGGCCACCCCTCGTGTTCAAGCTAAAGGAAGGGGCGCTCGAGGCTGCTTTTTAGTCGGTGCTATTCCGAATTTCCTCTTGGGTCCACAGAAGTCGATGTTTTTAAGAACTCAACAGGAAGCTCCATTTTCGTGTCATCCACTGTCACAGCACGTTCTTTTCAAAATACCTCAAACACAGGACAGCGTGACAGCATTGGGGACGTAGGTTCTGTGAGGGTCCATCCATTGGGGTCCTTGCGCGTGTCACTCTGCAGCCGTTCCCATGGCAGAGCGCCTGGAGGAAGGGGCGTATGGTTGACTTTCATCTCCTTTTCTCCTTCAGTTCCGCTTCTCAGTACAATGTGAATTCTCTAGGCCCATCTCCCTGAGTTTGTTTCAGTCATCGTTGCTGTCACTTGCAGTGACTCCCTCACAGCCTAGTGCGGTCAGCCGGCTGTCTCTACCGGAGTACGCAGCCAGCTTCAACCTAACCCTGGACCAAAACGAACACTTTCTGAGGTGCGTGCCCCCAGCATAGGTTATCCAGCCCCACGCCCACGCCCGCAAAGATCCTTTCTGCGTGCGAGGCCCTGTCTCGGCGCTCCCAGCCCTTCCCTTCCGCACAGCTGCGGGCAGGAGCGGAGCCGTAGGCTTCTCCCTGCGTAGAGACTGCAGCGCAGACATAATGCAAAGTCTGACGTCGCTTTAGCCTGAGAACCGGTGAGCGATCTGACCACCTTCCCCGTCTGCTTCTCTTCCGATATCAGGGATGCTTCGTGTAGCGGTGTGACTTGCTCGCTCTCTCCTCATCTTGGCTATCCATCATTCAGGGATAACGCGTCACTCTTCACATGGGGAATTAAAAAATACCCTCTGGCTCATCGGAACATCCCAATTTTCTTGGTCCCAATGCTTGTTTTCCTTTCCGAGGGGAAAGGGGAGAGAAAAACAGAAGTGCCGTTGTTTCTTTCTCATCTACTCCAACTTAAAAAAGAAACGAGGTCAGGTCGTATCGTGGGCATAGACATGCATTCTGTTTCATCTAGAGCCCCTCTAGCTTTTTTGATGTGTTTTATTTCTTTTCTCTCTTTGAATTCCTGTTTGGTTACTTGGCTTCCAATGGAGGTGAACTTAACAACCATACTTGAATATTCCGTCTTGACTTTGTAACTGTGGCTACTTGAAATGAAGTTTTATCTGGGGTTGATGGATGAATGGTAGATTTTTGCAATGTCTCAAGGCAATAGGATGTGTACTATTAAACTGTAGATATTCTTAGTACAGTAAATTTATGCTGATAATTTTATTTTGTATAATTTTTACCTTTTTGTTAATATTTTTTCCTCCCACTTTATTGGTTTGCCTCCTGAGCTACCCCCCTCCCTCCTTACCTTCTCTTCTCCCCGTGTTTCAGTAAATTTAATTTAGGGTGCCTAGAAATTGCAAGTATGTATCCTTTTTTTGATTTGTATTTTATTATAATTTACACAAACGTCTGGGTTTGTGAACTGTATTACTCCTGGTATCTTTAAAATATTGTGGGTGTTTTAATAAATTTTATATTTATTTTTTGCACTCAAATTCCGTGTGGGTTCTTCATTTCCCCCCTTGAAGCAGGCCCAGATCGGGGTGTTTTGAGGCTCGCCCTGATCCCACCCTCAGGCTGTGGATTTGTTGGGGGGCGGGAACAGGACCTGGTGTTCGACTGGAGGGGGGTCGGATGAGACCTTGGTTCAGCAACTTCCACACCTGAGTTCTGGCTAAGAAAGAATCCAGAACCAAGACTCAAACGATGATAAAAAGTTTATTTAGAAAGTCACAGCGGCCGAAACCGGTTTGGCTCAGTGGATAGAGCGTCGGCCTGCAGACTGAAAGGTCCCAGGTTCAATTCCAGTCAAGGGCATGTACATTGGTTGCGGGCACATCCCCGGTAGGAGGTGTGCGGGAGGCAGCTGATCGATGATTCTCTCTCATCGATATTTCTAACTCTCTATCCCTCTCTCTTCTTCTCTGTAAAAAATCAATAAAATATATATTTTTAAAAACTGCTGAAGCATAAAATTATTTTAAAAAAGAAAGTCACAGTGATAGAAGAAGCGGGCGATAGAAGAAATAGCCGAAGAAGGCAAAAGAAGGCCCCTGGCAGCTTAGGGGAGTGAAGGGGGGAGGGAGGAGGCTCCAGTGGGCGGGAGCACGGAGCCTGTCAGGGAGGGGACTTTAGGGGAGGTCCCCGGGGAAAGATCTCAATAGAAAACTCACCAACTTCCCAGGAGTGTCCTTTCAGGGCATGGTCACCACTGATGGGTCAGCACCAGGCAGGGGGCCATGAGTCCCTGCAGCGGGTCCTGAGGTCAGCCATGGCCGAGCTTGTCTGGTGTGGCCGCTTTTCTGGGCCTGGAGCTGACACTCAGCCAAGGCCTCTATGTGTTTGAAGCAGGTCAGAGCCTCATTGTCCTCGGGGCTTAATGCTTAAACGCTGTTCTCTGGCCCCTTTTTTGTTTCCCCTCTAAGGGGGTGTAACCTGCATGACTAGGAACATGCCAGGGGAGGAGAGGTCAGGGGAGGATCTGAACCGGCGACACGAAAGGTCAGGGGTCTACACTGCAGACCGGGTGATGTGCTGGGGGGGCGGGGGGGAGCAGGGAGGAAGGGTTACTGGTGGGGGGGGGGGGGTGTCTTGTTTTCCCCGTTGCTAGGCGCCCGGCTTTCCGCCCTGGTGACTTTCTATACCTGGCCCATCGCCTTGCTCTGGTCCTGGCTCCCTGCCTCCCACAGATGGTGGATGTACAAATGAAGCCCTCACTGACACCGTGCTGGAGCCTGTCCTTGTCAAAACGGACTGTCTAAGAGCTATCCACTGGTAAAGCAGCCACAACTGGGAAACTGGTGCTTCTCTCTCCCCCTCTCTCCCCTTCTCTCCCTCTTCCTCTCTCTCTCCCTCTTTCTCCCTCTCTCCCTCTTTCTCCCTTTCCCTCTCTCCCTCTCTCTCCCTCTCTCTCTCCCTCTCCCTCTCTCCCTCTCTTCCTCTCCCTCTCTCCCTCTCTCTTCCTCTCCCTCTCTCCCTCTCTCTCTCCCTCTCTCTCTCTCCCTCCCTCCCTCTCTCCCTCTCTCTCCCTCCCTCTCTCTTGTGTTTCTCCTTTTGTTTTCCCTTTTCTTGGTTCCTTCTATCATTCCATTTGGAGAGCAACCCTCCCACCCCCACTCAAGTTGTTCACTTCTGATGTGACGTTTGCTAAAGGATCCCCGCTCCGGCTCCAGTCTGAGGGCCTGGCCCCCATGCCTGGTAGGGAGGGCCAGCGATGGGGCCAGGTTCTGCTGTCCTTGGGGCGAGGAGCTTTCCCGTAAGGCCTCGTGCTTGGGGCTGCCTCTATTCATTCAGATGGTCTGCTGGGTGGCTGATCCTGAGAAGGAAAGACAAAGAGAGAAGGACACTTGGGAGGGGAGACTGTGTCCACTGCCCCCGCGCCCCCCCTCGCTGGAAACA